TCGGTGTTATACTGCACCCTGACTGGCTTGGAACAGGGTATTAATGAAAGCCAAAAAGAAAAGGGAAAATGGAAAAGAAAAAAAGTACTAAAGTAAGAAGATTGTTCATTTTTAGTCCATGGATATCTGATTTGGAAAGCAGTTTCCAAATGGGAGTTTAACTTTTCTTTGAGCAATAGCAGCAGCGCTTTAGCACAAGTACTGCTTCCAAAGTGTCTTCTTCTAAGGGCTCCACATGACTTATTACATGTCTACATTCTGGGATAGTATAAAGCATTGTTGCACATACACATAAAAGCATATGCTTATCCACACATCCAAAAAAGCCCATGTTAAAAATAACATGCACACTTACTTGTTTCACACTCTGAAGTTCTTCTGCCAATTGTTTCCTTTGCCTTTCTGATTTGAACAGTTTTTCCTACATTTGAAAATCACTGAATTAAAAACTTGTTATGAAGGTAGTAATATTTATTAAAAGGCGTTACTTTTATTCCTTCGTTGCAAATCAGATAGACCCCTAAATCATCCAAGTACTATAATCTGAACATGCTTTTTTTTCCCTCCCAGTAATGTTTCTGGCTTTAGACATACTATTTCAAAATAACTGGTTTTCTGTGATATTGGTGCATTTTCTGTTACTTTAACTAGCCATTTCTCAAAATACCAAAATTGGAGGTTCTTAAGAGACTACTGGGACTACTCATTTCCTCACTTAATATTAGCATATTCTTGGAGATTATAAATCATAAACAAGATATAACTGGTATAACTAGAATACCAAAAAAGTAGTCATTGAAATAGAGGAGTCTTATGTACGGCAAATGAAATATTGTCACCTTTGCAGTTGAAACAGTTATGTTTTTACTCTGAAATGTCCAACTTTGTTAAATAAATAACAAATTAAGTTTTCACTGGACAAATGACAAATATCTTTCCTGCAAATGTGAGCAGAGAAACCGCTTGGACCTTAAGCTTAGTGGTAACGATGCACGTCAGCTATGCAGTGTTTCTAAGACACAGTCTGCTTCCTGGTGTATTTCAGCTTGCTCTTTTAGAAGAGGTGAGATGAGGGCCTATGAAGATGAATATAAAACAGTGATCTGAGGACCATGCCACTGCTGGCTTCCTTCTTTGATGCTCTGGCAGTCACCTTCACTGTTGGTGTCCCAGTTGTTTGAATGTGTAAACGATAAAAATTTTAAAAATCGCTATTTTCATTTGCCTTTGCAAAACGGCAGCAGAGCAAACTCTGCCGAAAGGCATTAAGTTAAATAAAGCTCACAGCACTTTCCAAAACTATTTCCCAAAATAAAAATTACCCACTGGTGCCAAATTATCTTGGTTTCATTTTCATACACACTGCAAATCACACTCGAAGATAGATATCAAGGATGATGAAAGGGATAAGAAAGCATTTACAGACTCCAAGAACTTCATTGAACAATCGCTAATGATTCCTGTGTGTATAAAGCAAGTAAGTAGTAAAAAGAAAACAATACTTTGAAGAAAACAGGAATGGCTTTGTAGACTACAGGGCTTTCTTACATGATTTTTTAGCCAATAGATATGCTTTGGGTAAAGATAATTATAAGATGCAAAGTATGTTTTCACTAGGATTTCAGGTTTGTCACATCAGAATATGTTCAGTTATACTTCACAACTTTAAATGTTAATCCTGATGTAGTGAATGACTCCTTGGGGAACTTTGTTGAAATGCTGCATGAATGTGACGTGCACAGCTTTAAATGATAACTCTAGCTATATTGCTATGCCAGTATTACCACTAATATGTATCATTCCCTTTGACAATGATAATCTTTCAGAAAGGAAGAAAGAGCTGACAACCCTTGAGAATCCTGAAGAACCACAAACCTTAATGACTTATGCAAGAATAAATTACACAGAAATGATATCTTACCCAGGTAACCAGAGTCGGATAAAATTGTAAAAGGAGGTATGGATAGACTATTGTCAATTTATTATTTAAACTAAATTTATATTTCCCATCTCAACTCTTTAACTGTACACCAAAAAAATGTGGGAACATAGTGGTCCTTAAAGCTGTAAAACGTATCTGAAATAGGCCTATAGTAGTAGAATGCTTATCTGTATTTGGAAGGAATGTGAATTGATAAAGCCTTCTGAAAGGAAGTCTGGCTAAAAGAGAAAGTGCAGATCCATATATATTCATATCTATAAACTGTGATGTCATCTACGATTTAATAGTAACAAAAGGGGAAAGAAAGGAAAGCTGTATAAAAGTGTTCAAGTTGGG